TCCGCATTTGATCTTTTTAATACACATATTTCATTTTAAAATTCTGGGGCCGTTACACTTTAGATCTGATGTGATAAAATTTATTTAACCAATATAACTCTTGGTTTGTATATATATATATATATAAATAAATAAACTGCTTAGTGCTATTTTTTTTTTTTAACAAAAGATGTCAACACCATAATTAAAATTTTACATTTTTATAGTAGATTCATTAAATACATTTTTGTTATTGAACTTTTAAATTTTACGAAAATTTCAATTTAATTCACGTTTTTTTATTTTTTTAATAAAAATTTATTTATTTAATTAATTATATCACACATACAACTCAAATATAGGATCATATTTTCATAATTCATTTGACAAAAATTTCTTTATAAATTCTATTATTAAAATGTTATTAACTATTAATAGAGTGTTTAGTGCTATTAAAATATTAAAAAAATTATAAATATGTAATTATGTATTGATAATGTCGGTTAATTTTGATATACCAAATTGGAAAAAAAAGTAAATTATATAGTGTGAAAAGTAATGTATTATTTTTTTAAAAAATAATATATTAAAAATAAAATACTATCGTATAAATTATCATTTAAAGAAAAACAAATGTATGAGATTATTCCACGTGGATGAGGTGGATTACGTAAGGAGGCACGTCAGTCGAACGGTGATTTAAAGCACGTGATGCGGTGGTTTTCTTCAACGAAAACATTGTTAAAGACAAGTCTGAACATTCCTAAAGCAAAATATCTTCTACACTTGATAAAAAGTTTTGCTTTTTCAAATTTAAGATAAATACGTATTCAAATTTTATTCACGTTCTTTAAATGGACAATTTGAAATATTTTCAACTTAATTTACACGGTAAATGTACAATTTTCAGTTACGATTTATAAAATTTTTAAGAAAAAATTATTTTTTACCAAAAATAAAATATTTATGCTTCAGTAAGAAATTATTGCGTTATCTGGTGATGATGTTAAAAAAAAAAAAAAAAAAAACACACTAAAAACGATTTTAATTATGAGAAAAGGCCGTACAGTACTTCCAGGTGTATGATATACCTCCTCTTCCCTCTACATCACAGGTGCTGAGGAAAATTTATGGCGCATAAATAGCTAGCCAAAGGCAGTTTTAGAAACTCCACAAGCATAACGTGGCCATGGCGGATACTCTGCAACAAATTCTGTTAATCTCCATTTGTATATCCTTGGTTTCTTCTTTAACCTTCCGCCTCTCTTCCCATGAGAAATCTTTCGTTTCTATTGCCACAGCATGCCAAAATTCGTCGGTAAAAGAGCTGATAATCGGGTTAGCAAATGATGAGCAGACGGTGAGATGGATGAAGGAGACGAGGCGGAGAATCCATGAGTACCCAGAACTTGCCTATGAAGAATTTAAGACTAGTGAGCTTATTAGAAGTGAGCTTGACCGATTGGGTGTTGCTTATCGCTGGCCGGTGGCTAAGACCGGTGTTGTGGCGGAGATTGGGTCTGGGTCTCCTCCTTTTGTTGCTTTGAGAGCTGATATGGATGCTCTGCCAATTCAGGTCTGACTTATTTGATTTCTTCATTGTTTTTACCTATTAAAAAAAATGTGTATGTATATATTTATTGTGAAAAGAGGAAAGGGGGAAAAGACTTCCTTTTCTCTTTTGGGTGTTTGTTGTTTAATTTGTTTATTGTTGGCTGTCTTGCTTGTTGAGGATGAACAGAGTATGAACAAGTTATAAGGAAATAATTAGTGTTTGGCTGGGCTAATCATGGACCCACTTGGGAATTCTCTTTAAAAGATTTTCCATAGATGTACTTTGATTTCCTAGGATTCACCATGTGATGGGTATTAAACTATTCCAGGAGAAACTTATAGTATTCTTTGACTCAACACTGTGATAAAAGGAGGGAACAGAAGAGAGACTGTGATGAGTACATGCTTTTAAAGATACATATCATTCTTTCACTCCAGGCTCTGTTACTATCACACGATGCTGATTAA